GAAATTTTGATTTTGGGGAGTTTTTGGGTGCTTGAGTTCCTAATAAACAGCTGAAATTATATCCACAGCCTCCTCAAAGCTTGGACAGAGCCCCTCGGAACTTTTATCACTGAATCTGTCTTCATCTCCCTAAAAACCCTACAACCCTCTAAACCCCTTAAGCCCTAAACCCCCTAAAACACCTAAACACTAAAAGCCCAAAAGAATGCCGCTGGCTTCTGTTGCAAAGCAGAACATGCAAGGCAAGCCCCGTTTAGGGTTTAGGGTTTAGGGTTTAGGGTTTAGGGTTTAGGGTTTAGGGTTTAGGGTTATGCCGCTTAGCCCTAAACTCTGTGGTGTGGGTTTCGCCCAGCAAGCCCTAAACCGGTTTAGGGTTTGGGGTTTAGGGTTTCTTTTGCAAGTCCCAGTTGCAAAAGGGTTTAGGGTTTAGGGTTTAGGGTTTAGGGTTTAGCTTCACGTCCCAAGCCTGGCCAGAACCTCACGCCCCGCGCGCCCGCCTCGGCCCGCCCCGCGATCACGGGGACTGCCGACCGAGGCTATGGCCGAGGCCGACCGAAGTGCTCAGATTCTTATATAATTGTTTGGGGTTTAAGGTTTAGGGTTCTGGGTTTGAGGTTGAGGCTTTAGGGTTTCAAGGTATCAACCCTAAACCCTGACGTTGGCCTTTTTGGCAAGAGCATGTTATAGGGATATCTCTACCTTATTGGGCTTCATTATAAGTGGGTTTATATGGGACCTCCCTCTCCTAATTTTGCTTATGTGCTTTTTTGGGGCCCTATAAAAACTAAACTCAGCTATGCGGGAGCGACAACAACCCTAAACCCCAAGAACCCGGGCTCAGGTCTCAGAATTCGTCGCCTGGATTAAGGGTGTATATGTGTGACCCCTTGGCGAGCTCTGGCAAAAGCTGATCCTGATGAGCTCAGCTCCAGGAACCCGATCTTAAGTGGACTACCAGGATGGGCTACTAGAGGCCTGATAATCCCCATAATGAACCCTATAAAAGGGGCTTTTAAAGGATCATAGGGTAGAATGGCCCACCCTGGTACTCCATCACAGAAGCGCTGACTCCGACAAGCCTCACACGAACTCCCTGCGGCCCAAGGACCCTACAAAACCACGGTTTAGGGTTTAGGGTTTAGGGTTTAGGGTTTAGGGTTTAGGGTTTAGGGTTTAGGGTTTAGGGTTTAGGGTTTAGGGTTTAGGGTTTAGGGTTTAGGGTTTAGGGTTTAGGCGCGGAGTCTTCTCCCTACATCACAACGCAGTCGATCGCTGAAAGTCTGCTAGTAGCTTCCTTGGCAACCCAGTGGAACCCCTTTTCCCCTTTTTTGTTTCAAGATTCCCGTTTAAGGTGTCCAACCCAGAAGAGGCAAGGTACCCTAAACCCTAACCCCTAAACCCCAAGTCCTAATTTTAAACCGGGTTACTGGGCTCGCAAGCTTCTCTAAAGGCTCCCCCAGGTCGCCAAGGCCTCGAGCCCAGCCAGCCCCCATGTCCCAGGCCGCCTTTATGACAACGTCACCGAGACGGCTGCTTGTTACACCTTAACGAGCCTCTACTTGGAGGTTCATGGCACTTATTAGCCAATTATGACTGTCGTTATACCCCACTTATAAGCCCCTTAAGGGCCCCAAAAAGGTTGTTACACCTCAAGGAGCGTCTGGCTGGAGGTGTGAGCCTGTTAGGACTGTGGATGGAGAGATCCAAGTTAACCAACCCTAAACCCTAAACCCTAAAACCATAAACCCTAAACCCTAAACCCTAACCCTAAACCCTAAACCCTAAACCCTAAACCCTAAACCCTAAACCCCAAACCCCAAACCCTAAACCCTAAACCCTAAACCCTAAACCCTAAACCCTAACAACACCCAAGGTTGGGAATACCCCATGCGTGAAGATCTCAGACCGGATCTGTCCACAGGGCCGCACCTCGGCCATGTGGGTTTAGGGTTTAGGGTTTAGGGTTTAGGGTTTAGGGTTTAGGGTTTAGGGTTTAGGGTTTAGGGTTTAGGGTTTAGGGTTTAGGGTTTAGGGTTTAGGGTTCAGGCTTTATGGTGCCTTTTTGTGAATCACTGGTACACGTAGGTTCAAAACGAGTACGGGTTCCTTGTCATGGTACTGGTCACTTAAGTAACCTATCCTAACCCTAAACCCGAAACCCAAACCCCTAAACCCTACCTCAAGTTCCTGAAATGCGCAGTTCGAGTCGTTCAAGCTCCCCAACACAAGCCCTGTTCAAGCCCAAGTCCTCTTCTGCTGTCAAGCCCAAGTCTCCTTTTGTTCCGACTCTGACTTGAAGCTTTTTTCCGGCAAGGGTTCAATTAAGGGTTTTGGGGCTACTGTAGGGCTTGGGGAAAGGTAGCTCTGAGTCTGGGCTTCAAAAAGGGCAAGAAGCAGCATACGCTCCAGCTGTTGAATTGTCCCCAAGTTGTGACATCCTTTGCCCAGCCGATTCTCCCCGAAACCCGGAACCCGCGACAAAAAGCAAAGCACTGGTGACATGAACTCCCCGAGACTTTGGCAAGCGCCTGAAACCTTAGAACCCTAAATCCCAAACCCACATTGAGCCTTTCTTCGTGCGGAGGCTCAAGCGGTGGCTTAGGGTTCCCTGCCAAACCTGTGTTTTGTCGAGCTCCAGGGCGGAGAGGGTCCTAGCGAATCTGAAGGGATGTAAGGAGGGACCCCTCGAGGGGACCCTTAATCTTATTCCCCCTACATAACCCATATGTATATATATATATATATATAGTATATATATATATATGTATGTATATGCCTTAAATAGCCCCTATATACTGAAGTAGCCCCCACATAAACCCCAAATAACCCCGAAGTTCCCTTACAAGGGTCCTTCCTTTAGTCCCTCGCGAATCTCGCATTTTCCAAGGTCTGCCCCAAAGCGCGCCTAAGTCCGACCAAGGGTCCAACTTGTTCTCCTACGCCCAACCTTCAGAACATCTGCATTGGAGCCACAATACACACAGGGTTTAGGGTTTACGGTTTAGGGTTTCGGGTTTCGGGTTTAGGATGCACTGTGAAGCCGCGGAGCAAGAACACAAGCCTTCAAACAAGCCATCAGCTCCCTCGAATTCACCTTGAGACCCACCAAGGGACAATCTACGCCAAGCTAGAGTACTTCAACCCGCTCGGATCCGTCAAGGACGCGCGGTCAATGCGGTGCGCTGCCCTTTCTAGATCGTCTTGTAAAGAGTATATTGGTATTTATATTTCTATTTCTACTTCTATTTATATCTATTCATTTACTTATCCAATTATTGTTCATCTATATATATATATATATATATTTATTTATTTATAAAGGCTACACTAAACCTTGAACCCAGCCCTCCACAAAATTCTACGAACAGTTGAGTCAGTTGAGGTTTACCTGCCGAGAGGGGAGCTTCCTTGGGGGGCCATTGGAAGGGTCACTAACCCATGAAACCCAGCATGGGAGCTTGTTTGACTCTTGGAAAGCACGGCTGGCTGTCGGGATTATCAAGGGTGTTCTAGGAGATAGGAAATTGACTTACTAAGTCAATGGGGCTTCCAAGTGTTGAAGCTGGGGGTATACATCGGGCAACTATACTTTCTACCTGGTTATAGCCTTATTTCGGGTATTTATAACCCTGCTTATAGCTACCCATGAACTGCCAAGTAGCGTTGAAGGTTCATGGTTTCAAGCGCTCAGGGTTTCAAGGGTTTAGGGTTTCAAGGGTTTAGGGTTTCAGGGGTTGCAGCCCTAAACCCTAAACCCCAAACCCTAAACCCCCATGGCCAGGACCGACTGGCCTGCGCCATCATCGAACAGGCTGTCCACTTTCGGTTCCTGCGCGGATGTCCTCAGAAACACAGGAGGTAATATAGGGGTCGGAATAATTACAATATATATATATATATATGTTTTTTTTTGCGCTTTTGACCTGGCGATTGCGCGCCAGCAGAAAGCCCGAAGTACCCCAATGAAAATCAAAGGTGCCAGCCTTAAACCTGCCCAGCCAAAGAGCTTAACGCCACGCAGGCAGAGAGAGATGGGAGGCTCAAACCGGGCGATACCGTCATCGAAGCCACCTCGGGCAACACAGGACGGGATCACATGGGCACATTGTCTTCCGCTAAGCCCTACACTTGGTAGCTGAGAAGGTAAACTTTCACCTTTTGGGGTAGATATAAGCCTATCATACTTGAAAGGCTCACCTAATTTTGGCCCAGGGTACCGTAACACTACACTGTAGATCCATGGATCCCTGGAGAAGCCTCACGTGAGAAGCACCATTCTACATTCGGGCGCCTTTCGGTGAGAGAGCCTTTTGTGTTTTTTATATCAGGAATCAGGGCCCAAAGCCTCTATTGAGAACTGAGAGCATGCCCAATTTGGCCATGCTTGAGGGATACTTGCAATTGATGTGGCATAGCTCCTGGCAATCTTCGGACCCCAAACGGCCTTCCAACTCCAACAAGTAGCGTAAGCTGTTTACATTCTCCGCGGCAACTTCCAGTTCGTGGCATACAAGTTGTAACAAGATTTGGTTTGCAAGCGGGAAGAAGAGTGCACAAACTCGGATACGGCGATTCTGCTTCCCCGGTAACCCTAAACCCTAGATGGCTTAACGGGCGCCTGGTGGGAGGCCACGGGGCTTTGCTTGCTAACTCCATACAGGGTGAAGGACTTTTTGCCCCACTGCAGGTCACTTGAAGGTTCATCGCTTTCGGGTTAGGGTTTGGGGCTTCGGGTTTCGGGTTTTGTTCGGGTTTTTAGGGTTTAGGGATTAGGGTTAGGGTGTTTTGGCATCAACGGTTTCGGGGGTTTTGGGGGTTTGGAGGGTTGACCCAGGGCATTTGCAGGGCTTTCTGAAGATTAAGGGTCTCGAGACTTGAGGGTTTAGGATCCTAAACCCTAAACCCTGTGCAGTCGCGCTCAGTTGCTCAGACTCAGAGATAGCGCCGAGTAAACCCTAAACCCTCTTCTGGCAAGCATGACCAGAGGCATTGGCCTAGCGATGCTGTGTGCCCAGCGTGGGTACACTTGCGCCCCTCAAGCTCGCACTGGCAAGCTTTCACATGTGGGGCTTTTAGGGTTTAGGGTTTAGTTTCGGGTTTAGGGTTTAGGGTTTAGGGTTCAGAAACTTCCAAAAAAAACTCACGACACCCGGCAATGGCCGGCTCAATTTCGGCAGATGGCCTCAATCATGAAGCTGAGCTTTCTCCATTCCTCAAGCCTTCAGGGGCCTGTTTCCACCTTCCTTGCTTCTTGTTCATAGAATCATGGAGCCGGGCACCCTAAACCCTAAACCCTAAACCCTAAACCCTAAACCCTAAACCCTAAACCCTAAACCCTAACGCCACTGAAGGGCTACTTGCCTGGCAGACAGGCCCTTAGAGCCGAAGCCCTACCCAGAGACTCCAAAACCCCTTAATGAAGGTATATCCCTTAAATTACAATAGGAACCCTAGTATGATTTATGGTATATTCCTTAATTAAGGGGTTTTGGAGTGTCTATGTAACATGGGGGCCTTAACTTGGGGGGGGGGGGCTTATTTAAGTAGACTAAGCTTGCTGGGCCAAGAGTATGTGTGAGCGTTATAGACTTACAACCTTCGGCTCTCGACCCAAAGCCCTAGACCCCGAACATCCCCGAACCATAAACCCCCCTAAAAGCCATAAACCCCTTAAAACCCTATATGTTAAACCATAAGCCCCTAAAAACCCTAAACCCCCTAAAAGCCCCAAATTTTCAAACCTCATCGCGAGGTCATGACACCTAGACCCTTAAAACCTTAAAACCCCAAACCCCGAAAGCCCAAACCCTAAACCTCAAACCCTGAACCCTAAACTCTAACTCTACCCTAAACCCTAAACCCTGCGAACCCAGATTGTACCTCGCCTGGCCTGTCCGAGTGTGAGCGATTAAACCCTTAACCCTAAACCTCTCACCCTGAAGCCGAGACCCCTAAGCCCAAACCCCGAACTTTCCTGAGGTCATTACAATGGCCGAGCCCTTCTCACTGGAGCGGCGGAAGCTAATGCGCTTCCTGGGGGCGCCACTCCGACTTGGGTTGGGGGTTCAGGGCTTTGGTCGTTTTAGGGTTTAGGGTTTTGGCGCCAGGGATTTGAGGGGGTTTAGCTGCGCTAAGGGTTTGGGGTTTAGGGCTTAAACCTTCATTTTCGGGGGGAGGGGGGTGCGGGGTGGGGGGGCTTCCGACCGAAACCCTAAACCCTAAACCCTAAACCCAGCCTCGCCAGCGTGTGCGCCAGTGTGAGAGTCGAAACCCCATTTCCCCCCTAGACAACTAACTCAGCACACTCTTTGCCGGGGTATAGGCTGAGGTGCTGTTTTTAGGGTTAACAGGCAGGGTTTTGGGGGGGATACCATGGGGGGGGGGGGGGGGTACCATGGGGGGGGGGGGGGGGGGTTGATTACGCGGAACGCGGGCGCATATAAGAGTCCCTCCTCCTCCAGTCGCTTGAGGTTAGACTTCAACGTAAGAGTGGACTCACGGCCGAAGCTTCCACCACTCGACCTAGTAGGACCCAAAACCCCGAAACCCCCGAAACCCCCAAGCCCCTAAGTCCCAAAGGGTTTAGGGTTTAGGTTTAGGGCTTAGGGCTTAGGGTTTAGGATCCTAAACCCTAAACATGTCTCAGGAAGGTCATCATCACGCCGAAGTCGGGAAAAGGCACGGCCCGATCAAGTTGTATCAAAGTCCGAAATCCCATACTTACACCCCCGCCCAACCACCCACCCACCCCACCCCCCGCCCGGATGAGAATGCTGGACCCCCTCTACCCTCTACCCCCTTATCCCCTCTTTCCCCCCCTAAACCCTAAGCCCTAAACGCGCTAAACCCTCCCCAAAAACAAAACACATCATCTCAGCGGCAGCGATAGCGATCTGAAGACTACCGGGTTGCCTGTGACTACAATAAGGGCGCCGGCTTCCGTCCCCCCCCCCCCCCCCCCCCCCCCCCGCACTACCCCCAAAAAAACCCAAAACTTGCGGGAGGATCGCCCCAATACCACTATGTGTACGACTATGGGGGTAATTACATAAGCCCTAACAGCCTAAAACCCTCGAAGCCTGTGCTGGATGTTGACTCCTTTTTAAGGGAGTTTCTCACCGTGTTACTCGGTTCAGGGTTTAGGGTTTAGGTTGTTGGGTTTAGGGTTTAGGGTTGGGATAGATGCGCCTTGCTTGGCCGGAAAACTAGATGGTGAGGTCCTCTGGGAGCATGATAGAATTTCCTAGGTTCAACCCTAAACCCTGAGTCATGCCTGTATGGTGACCTCATGTGAGTCATTTCTCCTCTTCCTCACCTTTCCTAGGGTGTGGAAGACTTATGATGGACTCATTGAACCCTAAACCCTAAACCCTAAACCCTAAACCCCAAACCCTAAACCCTAAACCCTAACCCTAAACCCGATTGCATCCCGCACCTGTGGGTTGCAGGCATCGGCATGGTCAAGAAGGCACAAGAGCTTGCCGAGGCCCACGGCTGGCGACTTTGGCTTTGAAAGTGCTGGAGGTTAAGGGATACAGACAGGGTTAAGGGTCTAGAGTCTGGGGTTTAGAGGGTTTAGGGGGTGTCGGGGGGTCTGGAACGTTTGGAGGGTTTTGTGGCTTTACAGTTTAGAGCGTTTAGAGGGTTTACAGGTTTAGAGGGTTTAGAGGGTTTAGAGGGTTTAGAGGGTTTAGGGGGTTTAGGGGGTTTAGAGTTTTTTCGGGGTTTGGAGAGGTCCTCTGCAGAAGGAGGCGTCATTCGACGCGGGATCCACAGCGGACGTTTGGAAGAAAACCCCCTACACCCTCAACCCTAAACCCTAGGTCCTAGGTTTAGGAACTCGTGGGACTGAAAAGGCTGCAGATCGGCTCAGGAACCTGGCACTAGATGCAAGAATCATGGAACGTCTTCAGCGTTGGGGCTGGCGGGGGGCGCACCCATCGAAGGGTAGTTCTATGGGCCATTAATATGGTCCCTTGTGTTGTATGATATAGGGTTTGTCTATATAAGGGTCCCCTTTTACTACCAAGGGACCATGTAAGTGCCCTCAGAACCCACGGCCAGCTTTACACAAGTTCTAACTTGGGGCTTCTTTCACGTTTGGGTCCCTTCGTTGGCCACTTTCTACAGAACGACCCAAACGTCTGCTTTCTAAAAAGCACTTGCCCCCGTGACGCCCCCTTGATTGGAAGAACCCTCATTCGTTGCTCCTAAACCCTAAAACCTAAACCCTAACACCTAAACCTTGACCACCAACCCTACACCCTAAAACCACCCGCAACCCTGCACCCTGAACCCCCAAAACCAGGTTTCTCGCGAGGCAGCCACCCAGCGCTGCATCAAGGGGGAAGGATGGGACGTCAGGGCTGGGCCTCCTTCGTCTAAGCCCCAAACCCTAAACCCTAAACCCCAGACTTTACTCAGGCCCCAACGTCCTGAACCCGCCCAAGCCCCAAAGTTTGAAGTCCTGAACTGGAAGAAGCCTCTTGTAGTCTCAGGTTTGGACTTTTCAACCAAAAACCCTAATCCCAAAGGCACGGACCTAGGACTTGGGGTTGGTGGGCCCACATATGGTAAGTTAGTGTCACAACAGTACAGCATCAATTACGTTTAGATAAAGTTACATGTCTACACAGTTATGAGAATGTTTATGGTGGATCAACAAATAGACCACAACATGTTATTTGCATGTTTTCCGGTCCTTGGACTCCGAAACACCGCCTGTCCCAATCATAGGAAGATATACATGCGTAATATATGGGCCTTAATAATTAGAACAGGGTTTTGGGGGCTGCTAAAGTATATTTAAATAGGGGCCCTGAGGGAATAATGTTATAGATGTTACATTACACATTTTTTAAGGCTGTGCGTCCAGATGTCACCCGGGGCAAGGCCGGGGGCTGGAACGGCGCTGCCCCTTAAGATCGTTTTGGCCGTCCATCTCTTGCAAAACATGTGCGTTCTTGCCTTAAACCCTAAACCCTAAACCCTTATTGTTTGCCAGTGGCTCACAGCCATTTGCCGCCAGGCCCAAAGTACCGCTGCCTTAAATGCGATCCCCAGCAGCGGTTCCATTCTGCCCAGGGCTCCATTCTAAGCTCGCTTCGCCAAAGGGGAGGGGGGACTCAAATATACATACTCAAATATATTCAAGTTACTCAGCTATACTCAAGTTACTCAAATATATTCCTTATACGGAATTCAGAAAAAGAGCCCTTCACTTGGTCAAGCTCTCAGGTTCGAAGCACCCGCGAATGCCCAGTTTCACTACGAGACAACTGGCCACGAGATTTTGAACGACTTCAAAGGACCGCTCTTGCTGTAGGCTAGCGCCCTGGAACTGTCTTTTGGGGCTGGTATGAACCCCAAACTTCAAACCCAGCCTTCTGAGAATCTCAAAGGTTACTCTAGGGGAACTGCAGCTCGAAAGTGTGATCCAGAACAGCGGCAAATAATGAATTGGTGTGCGCATGCTTGCTTTCTAGTTGATGTGATGCTTGGCCTTTTGCGATGACTGCTTGTATGCGCTATGGGGTTTTAGGTTCAGGTGCGCGCCTCAGCATGTGCAGAGGATTTCAGGCGAAGCGCCCTGGAGTCGTTCGCAGCAAGCCCACTAAGCCCTCGCAACCCGGGATGCGAAGCTGCTAATCTCAAAGGCGGTTTAGGGTTTTGGGTTTAGGGTTTAGGCTTTAGGCTTTAGGCTTTAGGGTTTAGAAGACATTTCCAATGAAAGGACACCGCCTGGATTACTTCGTTCAGGGCTACGGCACCGGCGGCACCTACGGCGGTGCCGGACGCGCACTACGGGAGCCTCGACGAAGGGTCTAACAAAAAAACCGAAACCCTAACCCCTAAACCCTAAACCCGAAACCCTAAACCCTAAACCCTAATTAGGCTGGGGGAAGTGCGGGCTTTTTTGTTGAGCAGAGTTGTTGTTGACAGGTGGGGATGCTCCCCCCTTATACTAGTCCTTAGTAGGGATCAGGGTTTAGGGTTTAGGGTTTAGGGTTTAGGGTTTAGGGTTTAGGGTTTAGGGTTCAGGTTTAGGGTTTAGGGTTTAGGGTTTAGGGTATCCCTATTACAGTCCCTAGTAAGGACTGTCGTTAAAAGGGGGAACATCCCAATTGATAGGGTTCGGGCTCCAGTTCAAGCAACCGACTTTGCTTGATTGCACTCTTGCGAGACGGAGGTCGATTCCTAAGCGCTGTGTAATCCCTAAATCCCAAACCGATGCAGCAAAACCCTACAAGGCCATGTAGCTGGCACATACCACAACTAACAGGCCCTTGCTTTTTTTCGGAAGCCTCCAGTGAAAACGGTTTCTCTCTCTTTCTGGCAGGTTTGGCCATGAGCACCCGAAGCCCGAGCTTCCTTTGCAAAGCTAAGCCCCTTAACCCTGTTTCTACTATTTGCTTAAACACCCAAAAATAATGGCAAAAAATATTTCCCATAGAGGCCCTTATAAGCAAGAATATTCGAATTTTGCAGGTCTGCTGAAGCAAGTAATAGGTTGAAGCCTGTAGACACACCAGAAGGTCATTGAAACCGATGTCGATGTACCGCCTGAAGGGACCAACGGACCGAATCCTTGCCTGCCTTGTGCGAGCGTGAGAGTCGAACAGCCCTATCGAAACCCTCAAAATTCCTCAAAAACATCATGGGTGTTGGGTTTTTTTGCACGCTTCGGGGGTCCAGGCAAGCCCTCAAAACTTTGTCATGGTTGGGTAACATTTTATATTTCGAGGGTGCTAAAACCCAACAAGGAAGATGAATTTAAATTGTTAATACTATCCCAACCATGAACTAGCAAAAGAGGCAGACCGCGGCCCGTAGTTTCCGACGGACTAGCGCCCAGATGCCCAGGAGAAGCGGCCGGATGTCAAGCTCCGCGGATGAATTGGGTTCAGGGTTTTGGGTTTAGGATACTTTTGTTGCTTTGGCGCTTAAGGTTTTGGGTTTGGGCTTCAGGGGTTCAGGGGTTCAGGGGTTCAGGGGTTCAGGGGTTCAGGGTTTAGGGTTTAGGGTTTAGGGTTTAGGGAAGTTTTGGGTTTAGGGATGTCTAGGGTGGGCTTGGCTAGACGCACCGCAGAGGTGAGACTCCGCTGGGCAAAAGCAGGCTGAGAAGCCACAGGTAAAGCGCAGACTCCCAAAGGCACCAAGCGCCCTGGAAACACCCAAAACGCCATAAACCCTACAAACCCTATACCCTATAAACCCTATAAACCCGATAAACCTCATAAACCCTAAACCTTCGAATGCGTTGAGAGTGTCAGCTGGGCAGGCGGAGCCCAAAAAACCTAAGCCGATGAACCCCGGGCCTGCAAACCCTAAACCTAAACCCTCTAGTGAAGCCCTAAACCTAGACTTGAGCCCTAAGCCCTACAGTTAAACCCTAGACCTAAACTGCAGCCCTCAACCCTATAGTTAAGCCCTAAACCTAAACTGAAGCCCTAAAACCTGTAGCTAAACCCTAAACCTAAACTGAAGCCCTAAAACCTGCAGCTAAACCCTAAACCTGAACTTTAAGCCTTATATCCTCTAGTTCAACCCGAAACCCTAAACACTGCGCTAGAAAAGGTGCACAGGGTTGTTAAAAAAAAAAATGTACCCCTTTTTTTGCCTGCCCAGAAATGAACTGAAGCCCCAAAACCTACAGTTAAACCCTAAACCTGAACTTTTAAACCCGAAACCCTATCGTTAAACCCTAGACCCTGCGCTAGAAAAGGTGCACAGGGTTGTTAAACAAAAAACAAAAAACTGAACCCTATAGTTAAACCCTAAACCCTAAACCCTATAGTTAAACCCTAAACCCGATAGTTAAACCCTAAACCCTAAACCCTGAACCCCTATAGCCCTATAGTTAAACCCTAAACCTAAACTTGAGCCCTAAACCCAATATTTAATTGTGAAACCCTCAACCCTAAACCCTGAACCCCCCTACTTATAACCCCAATTATAAGTCTACTTATAACCTACTTAGGGGACTTAGGGGGTTCATAAGTGCAGTTATAATTAGAGTTGTAAGTGCCCTGAACCTCCAAGTAGCCTGCCCAGAATCGTCCTCGCCGAGCCCGCGGACGCGGCCTTGGTCGGCTCGGGGATCAAGACGGACTCCCGCCCCTGTCAAGATGGGCTTCGACTGGGCTTTTGGAGTACCATACTTTAGGGTTTAGGGTTAGGGTTTAGGGTTTAGGGTTAGGGTTTAGGGTTTAGGGTTCAGGGCTTAAGATGGGCTTAGACTGGGCTTTCGGAGTACTTTCACAAAGGTTCAAGGGTTTAATTATAGGGTTTAGGATTGAGAGTTTCAGCTGCAGGGCTTAGGGTTCTAGGTAGGCCCTTGGGCCGTGCCAAGATGGGCTTAGATTGGGTTTTGGAGTACTATACTTTAAAGATTTGTTTTTTGGCTCAGGGTTCCTATTATAGCTACCCTCAACCCTAACACCCGAAAAGTATATACTTTTGCCGGGGATGAGCCCTTGGGATGTTTAATATGTTCCCCTTATTGAGTTTAAGAGGATCATATTTAGGAAAGAGATGAAGGTTTTAAGGGCCATCCTAGTTTGGGGTTTGCGGTTTAGGAGCCACTTTGGAGTTTAGGAGTTGAGGGTTTAGGGGATAGGGTTTAGGAGTTCAGGGTTCGGGTTTATAGGAGTTTGATTTGGGAGTTTGATTTGGGATTTGCGGGGGGGGGGGGGGGGGGGGGAGGTTTTGTTGGGGTTTGGGGTTTAGGGATTGCAAATTGGGTTGGGGATGTAGGTTTTAGGGCGGTAGAGTTGGGAAGATCTAGCTTGGCCTTGAAGGGGACGAGTTTCGTAAGGCGATGTCCTGCAACCACAACTGACCATGCCAATGTCATCATGTTGTGGCCCCGATTGATTTTCTTGAGTTCCTGAAGAGTTCTTGACCCCGAAACTTCGGAACCCGAAACCCTAAACCCTCGAAAAAGACCGCGGTCCTGAAGCAAAATGGTGGCTTCAAGCTCTAAACCCTAAACCCCAAACCCTTAACCCGAACCCTAAACCCTAAACCTAAACCTCTTTTGCAGCAGAATCTTGAAGCTTGAGCACCGAGAGAACTACGCGTTCTTCGTAGGGAATGAGGGGAATGGGGTACTGGGGTACGAACCCTATAGAATCCCTTAAAGAGAATTTATGGGGGACTATAGAATACCTCATGCCCTCATTTCCTACTAAGAACCAGCGAGGAACCCGAAGCTAGTATGTGGGTTGTTTCTCCATGATGGTTTAGGGTTTAGGGAAAAACGATCCTGAACACGAACTCCGTGCAACTTCTCGATCGGAGGATGCTCATCCCTGCCCCTTCCACCACCAAAACAAAGCCCTGGGCAACGAAATTCCCCCAAAGCCCACTCGGAATCCCTCCCACAGCACCCAGAATTCCCACAAATTCCTCCCCGGAATCCCACAAATTCTTCTAGGAATCCCACAAATTGCCCCCGGAATCCCAGATATCCCCCCCCCAGGAATCCCAAAATTCCTCCAGGAACGAAGGCAGGATGGCAGCGCTGCTTCCTCGCACCCCGCCTTCAAGCCCCATCCGATTCAAGGCCCCCGCTTCGGGCTGCGTGTGAAATCTTAAGGATTTCGGGTTTAGGGTTTAGGGTTTAGGGTCTAGGGGGCAACAGTTTAGTAAGCCTCTGTTGCCCAGTGGTGCCCTTTTCCCTTTCTGTTGGGTTCAACGTGTTCCCTTATCAAGTAGCCAACCCAAAAAGGGTGCCCTTATTCACATATTGTTACTGGGCTGCCAAGACGCAGTCGCCAAAAGGGTTTACTCAAAAAGGATACTTCCCCCAAACATTTGGGAAGTACCCCTGATACACCCCCAAGATATGAGAGTCCTTCTTGTAGGAACCCACCAAAAGGGTACCCCCCCCTATGTTTTAAAGGCAGTGCCGGGATTCCTGGCATAGGAAATACGGCATTCAGGGGTGTATCATGGGGTGAGCTAGGTGAAAGCCACTGAAAGCTGCTCCCATCTAGAGCCTCGGACTAAAACCCTAAACCCTAAACCCTAAACCCTAAACCCTAAACCCTAAACCCTGCCTTAATGTGTAACGACAACCCGAAGCCCTTCTCTCCGCACGACTCGAGAACCACTTTTAACCCGAAGAGGCTGGACACCGGACTTCGTGGCCAAGGCCAGGATGACGAGGTTTAGGGTTTAGGGTTTAGGGTTTAGGGTTTAGGGCTTAGGGCTTAGGGCTTAGGGCTTTGCAGCAAGAATCTCTCGACTTTGGAGTTCAGGACTGAAAGCCTTCAACCCTAAACCCTAAACGCTAAACCCTAAACCCTAAACCCTAAACCCTAAACCCTGAACCCAAAGCCTACTGGGAGTCCTGCAGGTTGCTGAGGAGGCGGTGGAGACCGTAGGCTATGACGACCACATCACCATCCCAGGCGCCTGCCCCAAGCGCAAAAGCACAGTGGTGTTTAGGGTTTAGGGTTTAGGGTTTAGGGTTTAGGGTGTCGTTTACTGGCACATTCTATTGCATTATAGCATAGTATCGAGTATAATACAGGAATGCATACCATATGTAAACCACGTAAGAATATAAGCAATCAGAATACTTATAGAGAGAGATAGATACAGATGGATGGATAGATACTAGGACCGGGAGTAGGCCCTTATTTCCTTTTCTTAGGGTTGGGGTTCCCTTATAACCCCCTTAAAACCAAAAAGGGCGCCCTTTTCATTCCTAGGTGACTCCCGGGTCTAGGCTAGAAATAGCGTACATGAATGCGTGAAACTTGACATGATGTGTACTCTTTAAGGGTGTCGGGGCATCTCGGATTCAGATGCCAGGCAGCCGGAAAAGGGGGGTTGGGGGGGGGGGGGGGGGGGGGGAAGCCTCGCCTGAAAAGTCGTGTAGGGTTTAGGGTTTTGGGTTTTGGGTTTTGGGTTTTGGGTTTAGGGTTTAGGGTTTAGGAGTCCTCCGCGCAGACGACCCTGTGAAGGCAGAGCCTCAGCCCCAAGTGGCACTCGCTGTGTTTGGGCCTTTTGTTGGCTGCTTGGGCGCCTGAAGCTTGCCAAGGTTGTTTAGGGTCTAGGGTTTAGGGTTTAGGGTTTAGGGTGGAGGGTTTAGGGTTTAGGGTTTAGGGTTTAGGGTTTAGGGTGTAGGGTTTAGGGTTTAGGGTTTAGGGTTTAGGGTTTAGGTGTGTTGCGCAAAGCGTTCCTGCCAGGCGCCGGCGCGATCCAGATGGCACACGCGCTGGCAAAGAATGAAGGCATTTTCACAGGCAGGCAATGGGCAACCCTAATATAGGGGTGTCGGAATAATTACTAAGGGTTTAGGGTTTGGGGTTTAGGGTTTCGGGTTTTAGGGGGCTTTAGGGGTCGGAATAATTGCTAGAATAGTATTATTCCCTTATTGTCCCTAAACATTTATACTAGAATACCCCCCAAAGCCATGAAGGCCCCTATATTACCTCAACACCCACTGTTGGTTTGGTTATGATGCTTCTCTAAATTTATACGAGTCTTACGTATCCGACAAAGTAGGTTTCGGGATCTTAAGGTCAACTTGGTGCCTGGGCCCACGGCTTCTTTGGTGGACGAGATTTACTTCTCGGGATTTTCCCCCTTATACTAACTGTCCTTATTCGGGATTATAGTACCCCCCCCCCCAAGTGTAATCCCTATCAAGGACTGTTAGTATAAGGGGGAACATCCCAATTTACTGAACTGATTGTTATGGGAGATGATGTGGACCGCGGAGTCGCAAGTGTGGTGAACCAACAGCCACTGGGGGGCGTGTCGTGTGTACGGCCCTTGCGTCAGTCGTCGCCTGTCCGAAGCGCAACAGGCGCAGTGGAGTGCGCTGCGTCTGCATTCAGGGTTGTGGTGACCAGGATATCGGAACCCCGAAACCCTAAGCCCTAAACCCTTAATTAAGCGCAACAAAAGTGGCCCTGAACTTCTCAGCGCATGCCCAAACTAAACTCGCTCAGCTGTTCTCCGAGCTGTGAACCCCATGCTGCCCCCACCACCAGGGTGTCAACACGAAGCTGCAATCAATGAGTTTATCTGGGGCCCTGCATGTTTACCTACAGTTTAGCAGTAACTACCCTTAATTAGTAGGTCTAACCCAGAAAACTGTAGCTAAAGAGGGGTCCCAGGTATTCCCCCAATGTGCCGCTGGTCAGATGTGGGGTGAAGGCTTTCCGGAGATGAGCTAGACAAGTTCAGGACCTCCACATAAAACAAAGCAGGGCTGGGCTGTTAAACAGACTTACATCCAAAAACTAGCAGCTAGTAGCTACGATTTCCTTCAGTTCCTCCCCCCAAATAACGATCATAACTTATATCAGAACCCCTATATTGAACCCTCGAGATGGGAGCCAGGGGCCTGCCCTCTTCGAGGGCTTGGGATGCTGTTGTTCGGCCTTCGGGTTCAGGATTTTAGGGATTTTTAGGGTTTAGGGTTTAGGGTTTTTTGGGTTTTTTGGGTTTTTGGGGCTAAGGGCTGAGTTTCCTAAACATCGCTTAAGCATCTATCTCTGCAGGCATCTCCGGCGGCGCCTCCATCTACGCCGCAGTAGCTCGACGCGTTTTGCGTGTGCGGGTAAGTGTTGCTGGGGGTTTAGGGTTTAGGGTTTAGGGTTTAGGGTTTAGGGTTTAGGGTTTAGGGTTTAGGGTTTAGGGTTTAGGGTTTAGGGTTTAGGGTTTAGGGTTTAGGGTTTAGAGTTCTTAAGGGGTGGGGTTCAAGGGGGGGGGGGGGGGGGGGTATGTAACCCAAAAGGTTCCCTAATACTCCCCACTACTCCCTAAAGCTCCCTAAGCTTCCCTAAGGCTCCATCGATACCTACCTCCCCATGAACCCCCTCCCTTAAGAACCCTACAAGGAGGGCCCCCTAGTTACAAGTAGAGTTATAAGAGCCCTAAATTGGGTTATAAGGATCCTAGATTAGGTTATAAGTCCCTTAACTACAGTTAGTATAGTCAGGGGGCGCCTCCTTGTAGACAAGTTGGATGAGTTCACAGGTGGCAGTCAAAGGTGCCAGTCTCAAGGTTTAGCGTTTTGGGTTTCTGGGCATCAGGGTGCCGGATTTGGAGGCCTTTGGCTCTCCTTTCTTGGAGCTTTGTGCAGGTTTGCGGGGCCCGGGCAGGTCCCAAAAAGGGGGTGAAAGGGGCCTTTCAGGAAACCTCTGCCTTACAAGCCTGACACGCAAGAAGCCCTAGATCCTGGAAGTTTGAGCGTGAGGCCTCTTCCAAAAGCCATAGGGCTTAGGGTTTAGGTTTTTAAGTTCAGGTTTTAGGGTTTAGGGTTTAGGGATCCACCGACCTCACCCCCAACTGCGCTCTGCATCGTAGGCCTTAAAGGAGCAGGGTCAATTGCAAGGGTTTAAAGGTCGGGTTCTGAAGCACACAGGGAGCAAAGCCGTGGTGCCTCTATAGTAGCCTCGCAAGTCAACCGCAGCGCGCCAGCAGGCTGCGCGGCACCACCCTATCCTTCATCCCTAAACCCTAAACCCTAAACCCTAAACCCTAAACCCTAAACCCTAAACCCTAAACCCTAAACCCTAAACCCTAAACCCTAAACCCTAAACCCTAAACCCTAAACCCTTCCCAGGTGGAGATGGCCAAGAGGGTGCCAGAAGGATCAGCATCCTGGCAAGCATGGCGGAACTCACTGAAAAGAAGTGGTTTAGGGTTTAGGGTTTAGGGTTTAGGGTTTAGGGTTTAGAGTTTAGGGTTTAGGGTTATGGCAAGGGATTCAGACTCGTACGTCGTAGCCCCCAAAAGGGTTCAGAGTTACGACTCTTTGCTTAAGAAACCTCCCCCAAAAACTATAGAGAGATAGTGATCCCTATATTGCCCTTATGGGGGGAGAAGCCTTTTTTTTCAACTTTTTGGGTTGTGTCTCAGCAAATAGTGGTCTAAGGCCAGGCTCTTTCTGCAAGTGCCTTGCTGTGAACCCTAAACCCTAAACCCTAAACCCTAAACCCTAAACCCTAAACCCTAAACCCTAAACCCTAAACCCTAAACCCTAAACCCTAAACCCTAAACCCTAAACCCCAATCCTAAACCCAAGCCGTCCGTCCTTTGCGGTGCTCGTCGTCGTGGAATGCTGTGGCCCTCCGACGTCTCTGAGTAATATGGATGTCCCTGCTTCCTTGCGTTTCGATGGCTGTCCTTGTGTTCAAGTTTTCAAGTTATAGGTTCAACCCTAAACCCTAAACCCTAAAGTTCCCTCAGGCTTTGTCTTTTTTTGAAAGCTCAGAAGTTTTGGCATCCAGAAAAAATGCCGGCAGTCAACCGAGCATCTCCGATGCGGCACCTACTATTTGCTTTAAGAACCCCCCAAAATACAAAAAATGATGATCCCTATACTTCCCTTATAAGGTAGAATATGTTTTTAGTTCGGGGAGGGGGGGTTCTTAAGCAACTGGTAGGCACTGAGGTACTCTTGGCCGTCATCGCCGATACCGGCGAGCGGTACCTTTCGACTCCACTTTTCTCTTCTGTTGCGATTGATATGGACGAGGCCGGGCCAGGGCTGGCATCCTGAATCCTACAGGTTTTGGGTTTAGGGTTTCAGGGTTTAGGGTACCCTAGAAGCACCCTTGAGCCCAAAACCCTGAACCCGTTGAACCCTTAAGCCCTGACCAAAACGCCGAAATCCTGCAAAAAACTCTAAAAGTCCTTAAACCCTTGAACCTAAACCCCGAACCCCAACAAAAACACCGAAATCCTGACAACAAACCCTAATCCCTGAACCCTAAACCCTAAACCGAAACCCTAAACCCTAAACCCTAAACCCCTTAAACGCAGTGCCAGGAAGAGATGGTCATCTCCAAGTCCACACCCAGCTACCAGCGACATGGCTTTAGGGTTTAGGGTTTAGGGTTTAGGGTTTAGGGTTTAGGGTTTAGGGTTTAGGGTTTAGGGTTTAGGGTTTAGGGTTTAGGGTTTAGGGTTTAGGGTCTAGGGCTCTCTAAGGTTTTATAGGGTGTAAGGGTTGAAGGGTGTGTAGGGCTTGTAGGGTTCATAGGGTTTTGTGGGTTTAGAGGGTTTAGAGGGTTTAGAGGGTTTAGAGGGTTTAGAGGGTTTAGGGTAGAGTTGTGAGTCTTCGCCTCCGTACTCCTGCCGAAACACTTGAACTCTCACAGCCGGCCCAGGCTGGGATGATGCAAGACGTTGGCTGAGGGCGCCGGTTCGCTGTCCCATCCTCGCACGTAGCACCTTCGGGGGATCACTGTTGAGGGGCGTGGGCGTGGTCAGTCTTTGCTGTCAGTGTTGTGCCGAGCACACTGGAATGTACAAATATTTTCGGGTCAAAGGTTAGCATAACCAGAACAAACCACAAGATCACTGGGTCCGTATGCTGGGGGTTGGGAGGGGGCAAGCGAGTGGCCCTTCTTAAGTGGAGCATGTCACATCTGTCTTTCTTTGAATCAAGGCAGCTCAGGGCTCTTCAAGTTTGCTGGCACTTCTCATGTCATGGGGTTGCATAAGCCTAGATCATCTGCGAAAGCATCTGCGGTTGAGATGGCGAGGGCTCGGAAAGTTGAGTACGAACTGGTGGTTGCTTACTAAACCATAAACACCCTAAATCCGAAGCCCTAAACCCTAAACCCTAAACCCTAAAGGCTGCTTGTTGCGGGGGCATCAGCCGCGTGAAGAGAGAGTCGCTTCTTCATGAGTTGGCGCACTTACGGCGTTTAAGCCGCTAGTTTTCGCAAGACTTACTGTTGGTTAGTAGGGAATGAGGAAATGAGGCTATATAACCCCGAAAAGTAAACCCTAAACCCTAAACCCTAACAAGGGTGTGTATATATATATAGGGGGGATATAGGGTACCTCATTCCCTCATTCCCTATTAACCAACAGTAAGAAGAAGACCAGCCAGGAGAGCCACAGGGCCTGTCATTCACGAGGGTTTAGGGTTTAGGGTTGAAGGTTTAGGGTTTAGGGTTTGCGCCATCCAACATCCAGACCCTCCGAGCCCCAACAAGTCTTCAGCCTCCTTCCTCGGGCATTCCTTCTGTCCGGGGTTCTCGGTCTGTGGTGCCCTCGGTAGGCCCTTGGGACATGTCTTATTTTCCTTTATTGGGTTTGAGAGGATTATATTCAGGAATTTTAGGGTTTAGGGTTCAGGGTTTAGGGTTAGGGTTTAGGGTTTAGGGTGAAAAGGGCCATCCTAGTAACAAGGCACCAGTGCAACCCACAAAAGCAGCACTACGCGCATGGCCTCCTGGCTGGGGCGATGTTCGCCAGTGTCGAGTGCACGGGAGCTCCCCAACACTGAATCCAAGCCCGCGTGAATTCTTGGGTTTAGGGGTTTAGGGTTTTGGGTTTAGGGTTTAGGGTTCTACGACCTCATAAAGCTTTGGACGCATCACTGGAACCTAAAGATATAAGTGCCGAGTTTCGTGGCAATCGTCAACCCTAGACTCCGAGACCTCAAAATCTCAGAATCCCCCTGTCTCGGCTCCACTCTAGTGGCCGCGGCCGTCTCATCTTACAGAAGCCCTGTGTGGGTTTAGGGTTTAGGGTTTAGGGTTTAGGGTTTAGGGTTTAGGGTTTAGGGTTTAGGGTTTAGGGTTTAGGGTTTAGGGTTTAGGGTTTAGGGTTTCATGCCCAGATTTTGGGCTACATGTTCGGCATCGCGCGGATACGAAGGTTTGTTGGTCGTTGTTCTGATGTGTTGCACAGCAGTAATGATTGAAGTCTTGGAGTGATTTAGGGCAGGGTTTAGGGTTTAGGGTTTAGCACCACCTGGCCTACTGACGACTGCATGCGATTCAAACCCGCGGCATCTATGAGACAAGCACATCGCGGGCTTCTACACCTTGATACCTTAGGATGTTCCCCCTGAGACAAACCCTATTAAGGACGGTTAGCATAAGGGGGAACATGCCAAGGTATACCTGTCAACCATCCCCAACACCGTCACCCTCGACCCTTTAGCTACTCAGAGAGAAGCGAACAAAGATTCCAAGCTGGTGCCCGGCGCACTGCGCCGGAAAGAACTAAGACACTGAAGCGGGCTTCTCTGTGGTAGCCAACAGTGGTGCCCTTTTCCCTTCTTTTGGTTCAAGGTCCCCTTATAAAGTAACCAACCCAAAACAGGGTACTCTTCTCAAAATGTGGTCAGTGGGCTACCAAGCCTCCAAGGGCACGGGATTCAGTGGAGATCGACCCACTGCTGTTGCGATCACATCGTAACACTTCGGATCTCCTGGCGCGGCCACAAGATCCAGGGCTGTTTCGGGCTTCTTAGCTGAGTAGTAGAGTACGACCTTTTCGGGGTTTTGAAATCCCTCTATCCCCAAGGTTCACCATTCGTTTCCTAGGCTACTGGGCAACTAAGTTAGGGCTCTTCGGACGCCTTTGTATGGTGGTAGGGCTCTTTTAGGGTTCATATGGCTTCAGGCCCAACTCTTGGGAACAATAACGCCAAGCTGCCAATCGACCAGCAACGCAGCAGTTCGGGTTCTGCAAACTCAAGGCTTACAGGGATGTGCCGCAGAAATCTGCGAAGGACTTTGTAGGCATGGTCATCTCTCATACTTAATGGTCCCTTTTGGGGGTACCCTGAATATTAGGGGCCGCCTTATAAGAGTAACCCCAAACGAGACCCAAATTTAGAGACTCCCCCATATGACAATATGAAGGGCGGAGCCCGGACTTGGCGGTCGACATGGAGCAAGAACCCTCCTCGAAGAGAGGGGGGTCTCCTTGCATTTGCATGCCCCAGCAGGAGTTGCGTTGCATCGCGGCAGAGATACGGTTTAGGGTTTAGGGTTTAGGGTTCAGAGCCAGGCGAAGTACGAAGCCTGTTGCAAAAAGGGTTTAGAGTTTAGGGTTTAGGGTTTAGGGTGTAGGGTTTACAGCCCCCCCAAAAGGCCCGGAACATCCCTCAAGCCAGTATGTACGGTTGCAACTTAGGCAAGCAAGCTCTTCCGACGTCTTGCTTAGCCTTCAAGGGGGCTCGTGCCTCTCAAATCCTAGGTCTTGCCAAGGTGGTTTAGGGTCTTAAGGTCTTGGTTCTTGGGGCTGATTTAAGCCAGAGGCCCATAACTTCTAGTCCCCAGACTCTGGGCTACCAAAGATGTTTTTTTAGATTCAGGAAGCCTGCAACTTCCGAAAGCCCACGTTGGAGGGGGAAAGCCCTCCTCCTCCTCTCCTCCTCCTCCTCCTCCTCCTCCTCCTCCTCCTCCTCCTCCTCTTCCTCCTCCTCTTATTCCTGTTCCTCCTGTCTACCACTTCTTCTGCTTTTAGGCGAGTGGCCTCCTTTCCACAACATAGCTCGCAGTTGCAGCGTTTAAGCTTAGAACTCGTGGGTTCGTCCTTTTCTTTGAATAGGCCGTCATGCAAATCTTCAGGGTGCTGAGTAGGCACCCTGTACGCCTTTCGCCCCCGAATCTTGGGTGCCCTGACGACCCGCAGAGAGGAGGGATCCCAAAATAAGCAAGCCCAGAAGGTTAGCACGGGGCCAGTGTGGGTGGGGGCTACTTAGGTTAATATAGGTTTGCGAAAAGCGGAGGGGGGGGGGGGCGACTTGACTCCTGGAAGCCCCCCTCGAGGGCCGTTTGGTTCGTAGACTACCTTTCTGACCCCAAGGTTTAACCTGTATTGTTCTCCTGGACCCAGAAAGCTAATGAGTAAAAACATGTTTGTCAGTCGCCACACCTACTGAGCCCAACAGAAAGGGGCCCAATGAACTGCCGCCCTAGACGAAGCTGCGAATGCTTACCCTAAGCCCCCAAGTCATCCAAGCCCTAAACCCTAAACCTCCTACATCCTAAACGCCAACCCAAACCCTATGAAGCCCAAACCCGGAATCTTGGCGGTACTTGGAAACAGTGTGTTCTGTTTGGTTCCTAGCACCCTTAAGGCACAGCTAGAATTAGAATTGTTGCAAGGGTACCAAGTTTAGTACAGGAAGGGCCGGATGTAAGCTTCGAGCTGCGCAGAAGAATTTCCTCCTGGGGCGTCTTCTTCACCCGTCTCTTCTGAGTAGCTGTGCTTCCGAGGCGTACCTTCAAAAAAGGCGCGCTCTAGGGCCCATGTCGCATGTCCTCGTAGCTCACTGGCTCTCATCTTGGAATTTATAAGTCAGGCCCTTTATCAAAGGGGTTATATAATTAGAGGCTATGACGCGCAAAACTCCCTAATTCCCTACAAAGAACGGAAGTTAGTCTGGTGAGGTTGCTACGACCAGGAGGATTTGGGGTGTTAGGCCCTTGCTTTGTTCCGCTGGTGGCACCCAAAGTAGTTGGGGAGGATGCTTGTGCTCATCCCTAGACCCCAAAACTAAGACTCGTACCCCTAAGGCGGCTGTACCCATTAAAGGTTCCCCTTAAGGATCTTTAAACAGGGTCCTCAAAATCCAGGGGTACAACCTTAAGGGTCCAAAGTACAACCGCTAGATAGACGCGAAGCCAATGCCTCCACTCCCTTGCGAACTAGGTGCAGGGGTTTAGGGTTTAGGGTTTAGGGTTTAGGGTTTAGGGTTTAGGGTTTAGGGTTTAGGGTTTAGGGTTTAGGGTTTAGGGTTTAGGGTTTAGGGTTTAGGGTTTAGGGTTAGGGGGGAAAAGGTCTTATAATGACCCCAAACCCCCGTTCTAAGTACTAAGGCCCCTCTATTAGGTGTAGGCTGCCTGTCGGCTTTCTGAGCCACCGACTCCACACCTTTCTCTTCCCAAGGTCGATAACCCGAGCACCTTCAACCCATGAAGGGAAGAAGTCCTCCTCCCCCCCCTCGCCCCTTCCCCCCCCTCGCCCCTTCCCCCCCCCCCACCCCCGCCCCCGCCCCCCCCAAAACCCTAACCCTAAACCCTAACCGACTCAGCTAGCGGATGGCAAACAAAAAAACCCTAAACCCTCAAACCCCCCCCCCCCCCCCCCCCAAAAAAAAAAAAAAAACAAAACAAAACGAACCAAGCAGAGCGCCTCGCAAGCGCCTTAGACCCTGTCGAGAGCGATCAGCGCTAGGCGGGTGGCAAACAAAACCTAGACCCTCTAAACCCTAAACCCGTCAGCTAAGGCCTCCGAGACGGCTTTCGTCCGAAGTGTTGCGGTGCCACCCTCAAAGGGTGGGAGTGGGAGTTTCCCCATAATTCACGGTTGTTTAAGGATAGTTAAGCCCAATCAAGGCTATTTAACAGGGGGAACCTAACCTA